CCCTTCAGTCCGCAGGCCAAGGGCCTGTCCACTGAGCCAAACCAGTTAGGGTGAGGGATGTTTTTATTTTGTGTTGATTTAAGTTTTAGTTCTTAAGCTTTCTTAAAGAAATTTAAATAAAATAAGAAAATTAAACTGATCTATGGCTTAAATACTTTATACAGTGAAGTTCTGTATAAATCTTGTTAATCATTCTAGTTAAGCACACCATCTGAGCATAGTCTTTGTTTTGAATGAATATTGAGTGCCTAAGTGTTGCTGTCTTAGAAACATGACTAACACCCTCTCCAAGAAACAGGATTTTATATTTTTAAAAAATGTTTTTATTGATTTCAGAGAGGAAGGGAGAGGGAAAGATAGAAACATCAGTGATGAGAAATAATCATCCATTGGCTGCCTCTTGCATGCTCCCCACTGGGAATCGAGCCCACAACCTGGGCATGTGCCTTGAATCAAGCTGTGACCTCCTGGTTCATGGGTAAATGCTCAACCACTGAGCCACACTGGCTGGGCAGGGTTTTATGATCTCAACTCTATTGGTGATAACTTGGTGCCCAAGGATCTCAGAGTGTGGTGATCCCTCCGTCCCTTCCCCAGTCCTCTGCCTCACAGACAGAAATACAGTTCATTTATCTTTCCCAGGGCTGTGCTAGAAAACATCCATTCTGGCACTGCCAGCGGCCACATTATCATCTCTCTTTCTTCCAATTATAACCATCACTTTTCAAAATAATTCTGTGGGAAACTCTCAGTAATCTTCAGTAGTTTAGGTAATTTACTAAAGATATAGATATAAATATATAATTTCTGTTGACAAAATGTGAGCCTACTTTGATGATAAGTTGCACATTTGTTAATGTGAAAACTTTATCAATAAAACCTTTCTCTCTTCAGATATGAATATCATTGGGCAGATGGTACTAATATTAAAAAGCCAATCAAATGTTCTGCACCAAAATACATTGACTATTTGATGACTTGGGTTCAGGACCAACTTGATGATGAAACCCTTTTTCCTTCTAAGATTGGTGAGTTAATGTTGTATAACTGTTTTTCTTTTTAAATGATAAATGTGTGCTTTTTAACGCTCTATTTTTTAAAAATGTAACAGACTCAGATTTTTCTGTAAAAGATTATAAATGTATATTCCTTTCAGACATGTTTGTGTCTGCCTGTGTTTCTTCACCAATACTGGTTGTTACTCACTGAAAATTTTTTTTATAATTTAGGTAAATAAGTTAGTTTTAAGGCACATTTTTAAGATATTGATGAGATTGAGCATTTTTTGTTTATTGATCATTGTGTTTTCTCTTTATATCCTTTGTTCATTTATTTTTATGTTAAGGATATTAGCTTTTTGTCATAAATGTATTTTTCCCTAGGTTGCCTTTTGTCTTACTGTGTTCATCAAGTGATTTTGCTATATATAACTTTCTTATTTTGTCTTATTAATCTTTTCTTTAATGATGTCTGGGTTTTAATCAATGATTAGAAAGGTTTTCCCTACTTCACTATTATAAAAATATTTATCTATGTTTTCATTTAGTACTTTTTTGTGGTTTTGTTTTTACATTTAAATCTTTGTTCTGTCAGGAATTTTTTTTCTCATTGTTCCCTTCATTTTTTCCTCACTTATAATGCTAGTCAGTTTGTCCAGTACTATTTATCAAATACATGTGTCTTTTCTCCCCTGATCATCAAGTTGTCACATATTTTGGAGTCTTTTAATCTCTTTATCTGTTCCTATAGAAATTCCATACTGTTTTAATTAACCATGGACATAAATCTTTGAGCATCTTATAGGGCTGGTCTCTCTTCCTTGCTCTTCTTTTTCAGAATATTCACGACTATTCTGGGATATTTGTTCTTCCAAAGAACTTAGAATCATTTTGTCAAGGTAAAAAAAAAAATCTTTGTGAGATTTTTATTATGATTTTATTCAATTTGTAGATTAATATAGGGATTCTTGTTCTCTTGACAATCCTGTGTCTTCCTATCCAAGAATAAGGTATATTTCTTCATTTACTCACGTCTCTTATTTGCTGTATCCTCTTATAAAATTCTACAGTTTATGCTAATCCTTCAAGTTTCTTAAGTTTATTCCTAGGCATTTAATTTTTTTTATTAATATTTTGTTTCCAGTGGTGTTTAGTACATAGACAATCTGTTGATTTTTATATAAATTTTATAATTGACAACCAGATTTTGATTATTTCTGTTGTTTTGGGTTGTTTTTCTTGAGTTTTTAAAGTATACAATTCCATCACACTAATGGTAATTTTGCCTCTTTCTGATAATGTATACTTCTTGTGTAACTCTTACCTAATTGTACTTACCAGCTAGTGCTTCCAGAGCAGCGCTGACTAATGGTGATAACGCGGACATCCTTTTCTTCTTTCCTTTGATGAGTGCGTTTAGAATTTTAGCATTAAGCAAGAATCTTGCTTTTGGTTAGAGGTGTGTGAATTGTGTTACTAATGGCCATAAGGTTTTCTCCATTTTTTTTTTTAATGTTCTCCTGGAAGAGTATTTTTATTTGCTAATATTTTGATTAAGGTTTTGGAATTGGTATTTATGGATGAGATTGGTCCTTGTCATTTTCAGTGTAAGGGTGTCTTATGAACAACATATTGTTGGATTCTGTCTTGTTTGGGCTGTTATAATAAAAAAAATGCCAGAAAATGGATGGCACATAAACAAGAGAAATTTATTTCTCAAAGTTTAAAGGCTGAAAGTCTGAGATGAGGGTGCCAGCATGGTTGGGTTCCAGACTGCAGGCTTCTCACCTAGTCCCCACATAGTGGAAGGGCAGCTCTCTGAGGCCTCTTTATAAGGCCATAATCCCATCCATGAAGGGTTGGCCCTCATGACCCAGTCACCTCCCAAAAGCTCCACGTACTAATGCCATCAGCTAGGGGGTAGGACTTCAACATATGGATTTTGCCGGGGGGGGGGGGGGGGTGGTGGTGGGGGGGGACAACACAAACATTCAGACCATAGCAGATTCCTTGTTTGTAGTCTAACTAAAGGTTTTTCGGAAGTTATATCATGTTACATTTTTTCTGTTTGCTATTGGTCAACTTTTCCATTCTATTAAGCATTTTATTTGCTTAATAGCAAATAAAGATTTGTTATATAGTGATTATGCTTGAATATTTCTGTTAAATTCAGCTTGAAAGTGCTTAGACTAAAACAAATATTTCTTTATTCATTAAAGTTTTAAGATACTTTTGACTTTATTCTTTTCTCAGCTTCCCATTCATCAGTAATTTATCCTGGCATTCTTTGCACCCTCATTAGGTTATTATTATATACCACATTTACTTATGCCAGTTATCTACTTAGATGAAATTATTCACTTTTAAACTAGTATATCCAAGTTATTACTGTCCTTTTTATTAGCAAGGTACCCATTTACAAATTTTGAAAAGATATTTGACCTAAAAATCCATCTTTTCAGTACATTAATACAAGACCCATTTCAGAAAAACAAGCCCATACTTCAGAATAATGTTTGAAAGGGCAGGTTGTTAGCCAAGACTGGGGGTGGGGGGAAATCCCCCACAAAAATCAGCTTATAAGAGCAAAATATACTAAATTTCAAGCCAGTAAGGACTAATTGAGAAACAAAACAAAATTCAGGGAAGGAAAAAGTATTTAAGCTTTTGTTCTTTGAAAATTTAAAGAAAATGTTTCAAGAGTAAATGCTCTGGAACAGACCTTTAAGGTTATTTGGAAGCAAGTACCTTCCTATGTGTTTATTTACTGTTTTCAGTGCCAATTGTATTGTCTTTCTCCTATCCCTGCCTTCTAAGAGACTTTGGTCTTGTTAACCAAAATTCTCAGGAATGTAACCAGTTGCATCCTTACCTGCACTGCTTGGAAAGAGATCACTAAACCCTCTCCCTGTCTTTTCTAAGGAGGTATATATTTTCTTGGAAAAATAGGGAGCTGCCCTTCCTCCCTTTTTTTAGGAAGTATATTCCCTTCTTAGACTACAGAAAAATGAAAATAGCTCTTTAAAAAAATAAAGTTTATACTCCTAGTTTAAGAAAACTGGCTTTTCAGAGTAATTCAAGAAGATACTAGTAAAATACTTGTAAAACAGATTATGATGACCTGAAGTATGCCTTTTTCTTTTGTTTAGGAGAGTTTCCAGTCCTAGTTGAATGTGTACATTTTTTTTAGTTACAGATTACAAAAAGTAAAAATGTTCTATTTATAGTCAAATGTTCAATATTGTTACATTTTATCTTTTTTTAAAAAAAAAAATGTGTTGATTTTTAGAGAAGGGAAGGGAGAGGGATAGAGAGAGAGAAAAACCAATTGGCTGCATCAGCACTCCCTGTTGAGCCCACAACCTGGGCATGTGCCCTGACCAAGAATCAAACCTGTGGACTCTTGGTTCCTGGGTCGTTGCTCAGCTGCTAAGGCACACCTGCTGGCCTGTAGCATTTAGTCTTAGGAAGAAACTCTTCAATATTAACCACAAATAGACTTATTTTAATTTTGATTCAGTAACATTTTATATATAAATTTTGAAACCTGTGCCTGCTATTTTAAGATAGAAAATGTGTGGTATATGAGCATACCTCATATACTTGGGTTTGGGATTCTCTTTTCCCTTGCCTTTAAAAAATGTATATATGGCAGTAGGCTTGTATTTGTGAATGTGCATGTTTGTCTTTCGGAGTTGTTCATGGCTATATCTAAACTTTCTGCTGTTCAGTTAGATAAAAGACTAATGGATATATATGTATATTTATTATAGGTGTCCCATTTCCCAAAAACTTTATGTCTGTGGCAAAGACCATTCTAAAACGTCTGTTCAGGGTTTATGCCCATATTTATCACCAGCACTTTGATTCTGTGATGCAGCTGCAAGAGGAGGCTCACCTCAACACCTCCTTTAAGCACTTTATTTTCTTTGTTCAGGTAAGTTGAACCGTGTTGACTTCTGTGTTCTTTGACTTGGACATAACTTGGCTTAGTAACTTTAATAAAGAACAATTTATAGAGTTTTATTTATAGATGCAGAGCTAAGTATAAGCAGGGTTCTCTTTTCTACATTATTTATTTCATTGATGGGCATAGCAGCATAGAAAGCATCATCTCCATTCTGGGTTTCCTGCCTCTGGCTGCCCAGGTCTCTGGTTAGGACATGACAAGGAGCACCAAAAACCCAAGAAAGCTTGTCCATACCCTTCTGATCCATCGCCACTGCTGGGTAAAGGGACACTATGAAAAACGTCTGAAGTTGGGTTGTTTCATGAGATGTTTATGCCTGGAAGAGAAATATTTAGAAGAACCTGTTACATGTTGTCTTAGGTTCCATGTCTAGAAGTCCCACATAAGGCCAAATCTTATGAAGTTTTAGCAGCTAGAAACTTTAAAAATCAAAATAATCACATTGTTTGAAAAAGATGTGGAAGAATTGGGACTTCTTTAGTCTCACTTTAGAAATATATAATTCTGCCCTAACCGGTTTTGCTCAGTGGATAGAGCGTTGGCCTGTGGACTCAAGGGTTGCAGGTTTGATTCCGGTCAAGGGCATGTACCTTGGTTGTGGGCCCATCCCCAGTAGGAGGTGTGCAGGAGGCAGCTGATCGATGTTTCTCTCTCATCGATGTTTCTAACTCTCTATTCCTCTCCCTTCCTCTCTGTAAAAAATCAATAAAATATATTTTAAAAAAAAGAAATATATAATTCTGTATGCAAAATACGAATATGTCTAGATATTTTTTGGTGGAAAACCCAGCAGCTTTATAGTAGGCTAGAGGCCCGGTGCATGAAATTTGTGCGCTCGGGGATGGGGGGTGGTGTCCCTCAGCCTGGCCTGCACCCTCTCCCAGAGCCCAGTAATGGATCACCCTGCAGAGGGAGGCCCTGCCCACCTGCTGCAGCCCACTGGTCCGTGGCCTGGGCCTCCCTCTGCGGGGCTCCCCTGCCAATTGCATCACATCCACCTTGGTTGGCCTGGTGCCAGTGCATGGTTGTCGGGACGGTCGTTCTGCTGTTTGGTTGATTTGCATATTATGCTTTTATTATTATAAATAATTGTGTATTACAATATTATGTATCACACAAAGGATAATGTGCTCTTCTCTATCTTCCTTCTGAGGTTGTTGCATGGCATAGATGTAGAAAAGAAAAGGTCTATGAAAGGAAAAGGTCTGCTGCCCCTGAGGTGGCCACTAGCAAAGATTCAGCGTAAAGTTTTCAGATAATTCCTATGTAAATGCCAACATATACAACTTTAATGTTTTACCCAGTAAGCATCATTCTATTTATTATAGTTGCTTATTTAGTAAGTCCTCTATATTTTATAAAGGAGTAAAAATTATTTTATTAAAAATGTTCACAGAGATCATTTCATTATTCAATTTCAGAAAACTAGGGTTGGGAATACTCTCTCAGTGACATTTACAGAGTTTTAATTTTAGATCCATTTTTAAATTTTATTTTTCTTCTCTTTTTAGGAGTTTAATCTGATTGATAGGCGTGAGCTGGCACCTCTTCAGGAATTAATTGAGAAGCTTGGATCAAAAGACAGATAAATGCTTCTTCTAGTACACAATTACCCTCTTGCTTCATCTACTGCTAGAGCTATCTCATTGCTGTCTGTTATAGACTAGTGATACAGACTTTTAAGAAACAGTATAAAAAGGCCTATTGTCCCAAAGGTAGGTTGGCCTGATACCTTCAGAGTGAGAAATTCAGGACACAGCCAGATTTGAGGCACTGTGTCACCACACTTGTTATTGTCCCTGAGTCACACTTGCTGTTAATATGTGATGGTTAATCTGTAGTTTATCAGTTTACATATTATTCTTTTACTAAAGAAAATGATTTAGTCTGTTTCAGGTTATAGCATAATGGATATTAAGAATTTCTACCAATAATTTATTAACAAGTTTCCACAACAAATTTGTTAATATCTCAGTCAGATAGGTTTTATTCTGCTTATAGAAGAGGTGTTTTTAAGTTTCCTTAAGGTTTAGAACAATTTGTGTCACTTTGGATAAATATGTTGTTTGAAGTTATATACTAGTGTTTTTATAGATAATATGCATATTTTTTCAAAATCCATGATTGCCATTTAAATCATATGACATATGTGGGAGTAACCAAATGACTTTACTCTTTAATCTTAATTTGGGATTTTATTCACATACGAACCTATCTCAATGTTTAGGAGAGTGTGCATATTAGAAATAATTGTTTTAAGGCATCCAAGGTGGTCTTGCAGATTTTTTTTTAAATACTTCATTCAGGTTAATTTGAATATGTAGCTTTTGGCTGACAAAAAGCAAACTTCCAAAAAAATAAGACAAATTTAGGCCTCAAACCACTATTTTCATTCATGTTGTCTTTCAGATGGCCTTGAAATTCTGGATAGAATGAAAAATACTCAGATTACTTGATAGTTTTGAGTTTCCTTTTTAAAAAAATGATTTCTATGCGTTTTGGGATGTTTTTTTGTTTTTGTGTGTGTGTGTGTGGCTTGAGACTTAGTGAAGAGTACTATAGAAATGCATCAACTTTAACCCAATAAGGATAAAACTTAAGGAAAAAAAAAATCTTGCAAAAAACATCTTGAAAGGTGTACACATTTTATAACACAGTTAAAAGTTTGATGTGTTTCCTATTCTTGTGTTTGTTTGTGTGCACGTTTAAAGGAGACAGCATTAGAGGAATAAGTAAAAAAAAGGTCTTCATTCTGTTAATAGTTAAAGGATGGATTGAGCTCCTCTGGGGGTTTTATCCTGTGTTAACTATTGTATCAAAACCTGAATTTATTCTATTTCTATTCAGATAAAAAGGATCTCCCCTTTTAATGAAGAAAAGATCTGATTTTCATTAGGCTTCTAGGATTTAGTGAACTCTGACGGTTTAAAAGTATTGAGGCACAAATATATTAAAGACTTGCCAGACAGCAGCCACTTTAAGTTCACCAGCATTCTGTTTCAGAGTTGTGACTTTTGCAAAGTACCAACTTCTTGATGGCTTTGGCAAAGGTTAGCTTTGATAGGGTTTTTTTTTTCTCTCTCGTTACTGTTATTTTTATTATTCCACTCGTGTATAAGGAAGAGAATAACTTAGAAACTCTTAAAAACTCAATTTCAATAAATTATTAAATATATTCAGGATTTTAAAGGAAACAAAACATTTCATCTAATTAGGCTGAAACTGTACCTCATGGTTTTTTTTAGGAATTAAAGAGTGGGATAATCACCTATGAAAAAAAGAGAAAAGCCCTCTATGAGACATTCCATGGTCCACATTTTAAGTTTATTCAAAGGTCCCTGTCAAGCTGTATATATATGTTTATGTTGATTCTTTACAAATAAGAAGGCAGGTTTCTGGATACCACTGAGAATGTTACTGCCTCTCAACTATTGGCTTTAATTAAGTCTGCAAGGAAGTTGCACTTGCATCATCATTTCTAATATTTCAAATATTCTCAAACAAAAGGGTTCTCAGTTTTCTCCATCTGTTTTTCATGATAGAAACCCCCCCTTCTCTTCAAGACTCAGCCCAAAATGAACCAAAGACTGTAACGTTAGAATAGTAGTAAAGGCAGCGTACTAGTGACACAAATAAAATTGTTGGTAATTTGAGACTCAGAATGGCCTTTTAAAAAATAAAAACATTACCAGGTTCCCAAACTAATCTGGCTTAATCAGCAATGCATCCAAACATCGGTGTTAACTCTTTGTGTTTATATCCAAGGCCAAGGAGTTGAGGGCAGGAGAATTGGAGGAATGGGGAGAGGATGGCCCCTTCTTGACTTGGCTAACGGGCCAACTTTTGCTAACAGTTGGAAGAAATCTGTCTTTGCCTCTCATTTTTGACTTGTCTCTCTTTGCCCAGCATATGCCTCTTGGACAACACTCCCTACCTTGACCCCTCCTAATCATAAGCCATCTCTCAATGTATGATCCACTCATACCTGATAATCATGGGGTGGAGGGGGAGTGCTTTATAATATGCAGTTAATCCTTTGGTGCTTTTATTTTCAGGCCTTTAAAATAAAATGTGCAGATTTTTGTTTAAATATTGAAATTTCCTTGTACTAGTTTTTGTATTTACAGCCAAATGTATCTTTTATTCTTCTCTTGACTGAATAAAGTGATTTTAGAGGGCTGCCAGCTAAAAAAGTATTTCCTATCACCTTAAGACTTGTAGAGCCCCTAGCTCATGTAGCTGCCTGTTCAAGAAATGCAAATCTGTAGTCATCATGACTCTGATAACAAAAAAAGGAAAGTTTTCCTAGTCATGTGAGGCAAGAGGAGCAATCCTGGTGCTGATTTTAACTTTTGCAAACATTGTTGAGGTTTCCTGACTATACTGTTGGCCTTTTCTCTGAGCAGTGAGGTTATACTAGAAGTAGAGCTTCTGAAAAACATTATTACCTCACAAGCATAAACATATCAGGCCCACAGAATGTAAGTCCTAGAAATTTGTTTAGAAGCAGCCCCAGTCACAGCACTGGTGTTACCCCTGTGTGGTTAGAGGAGGCCGTCTGCTGTCTGTAGAACTCCAGCCTAAAAAATGCTGGCCTGGGACACCAAACTGAGCATCTTCAACAGGGACATTATTTCCTCCTGATATTTGTTCCAATAAGTGGGTTTACTATTTATTGTAGAATTCTGGCAAAGAGGGAAAATAGTAGTCCCTCAGTCTTCCTGTATTTTTACATTAGATTTTGATATTTCAGACTGTAAAAGCCTTTTGGGGGATATTACATGTGATTGTAATTTTATTGAAGCAACTGCATTGAAATTCACTTGGGTTTTCCCTCATTATCAGATTCTATTCCAAACAAGTATTCTGTAAATCCAAATAGACTGCTGATTTATTATGTTTGGTCTACATCAAAAATAGCTTGTATAAGTTAGTTTTGGTTACCATCTAAAATACTTTTAAATGTTCTTTACATGAAAACTTACGTTGTATTTTTAAATCTTTAGGGGCTTTATCTATTTTTCTAAGTCAGTTAACTATACTTTAAAAAAAGTAATTTGTATCTACTTTTGTAACTTCATCAGAATAAAATATATTGAAAGAAAGTAATGACTAAGATATGTGTCTCAACACACTTATTTTTGAAACTTGAGAATTTTTGCAGCCTCTGCAGACGATTGTCTTTGCTTAACATTTAGTAGCTAAAATGTTTTCTTACCTCTTAGAAGAAAGGGTACAGCGGCTAAAGCACATCCCAGAGAAAAAAAACAAGTGGTCTTCTTTCTACCTTGCTAACCCAGATCTACATTCCTGGCT